AATCCCTTAATGGTGCGTAGTAAACAAAACGCCATCTTTTTAAAATGAAAATGCAAAAAAAGATACTTAGAAGACAATATACATTATTTGAACTAGCTATTCTGAGTTATTCTACTGCTTTTGCGTTTTTAATATCATGAATGGAGGAAAAAATATCAACATGACTGAGTATTCAAATACCTTGAAGTCGGATTTCGAGTTCGGGAAAATCTACTTTTTGTAAATAAAATCTAAGAAGAAGAACAAAAACGGAAAGGATAATCATTAACTGCATTGTAAAAATCATCTTTTGGCAAGAATGTGGCTCGTATTCCCCATGAATACCCAGTGAAAAACTTGACCTGCTTATTCATCCCGCACATTTAGTAGCCGCTTAAACAGATCAGGTTTTCTCTCCGCACGGTCAAATAATCGCAGCCCAAGGTTAGGCTAACTTGATAACTCCCTAAAAGCTTCACTGAAATCGTCACAAGCCAAAGTGGTGCTGGAGAACATACTACTTACTAACAGGAGGCTGCTATCAGCCTAGCTCCGCGGTAGTACAGCCTGCCAAGACAAATCATCCTCTTCGGTGGCATTGTAGAATGTAGCACTGATTTGGCCCTACCAAGTAAACTAACAATTATCCTCACTCTGATGATGCTTAGAATTTTTACCTCCTATAATTTATGCACCTCCATGTGGATAGGATTTTAAAGCTAATTAGGTATTCTAAACCGTCTGTTATCTTTATATAAAAGTAATAATTAGAGGTTTCTGTATGATGATTGTTTTGACTCTCATCTCCTTGTGTAATAGCCAATAACCTGAATAAAAATTCAACTTATTCCCTCGTTTGAAAGTAAATAAACTATGAATGGAGTAAAGGTCTCCCGAAATCCCGCTACATTGATGTTGGGGCAAGTCAGAGGGGTTAGAACAATCCCAAATGGAGGTCAGTAGAACTTGGGCACATACACAACCATGTAAAAGTCCATATTAACTCATAGGAGTGATGAGGAACCTTTCGTGTCTCCTTTAGTCCCCTTTATGTTGAAGGTGAAGGCGTGTATTGCTCCACAGGAGTGGGAGCCTACTAAATAAGTTGGAGAAACACTGGCATTTGAAAGGAGTTGACCTAAACTGTTTTAGGCCTCCTTTTTGACCAATTGCATTTCAGTAAAAGCGGTGCACAATACCATACCGAGCCAGCAGGGCAAGTAAGAATTTATGTTAATGCGCAGGATGTGTGAAAATGTTGGGTTCCTGTTTCAATTTTGTCTGGAAGGAGAAGGAGCGTGCATAAAATTGTCTAAAATATGACAAAAAATATGGACAACACTGTGTAAAGCTAGAGTGGAAGAGGAGGAATTAAATTCAAATAACATATGCTGGTGGGAAAATAACAGAAGATTCACTTCAGGGTTTGATTGAGCTGTACGATTTAGGGTCTTGAAATAGCCAATCATATCCAAAGAAAACGTGGAACAAAAAATTAAAGTAGTAAGATGCATAGAAATTTTCAGATTGTCATCTTGTTCAGAAGGTAGTAAAATGTGCATTTTAGCATACTTGCATCCAGCGTCACATATTTGTGACACGCACTCCTTGGCAGTTTTTGGGAACTGATTCCATCAAATTATAATTTTAATTGAGTTAAATCGCAGTAAGATGACTTTCTTGACCTAAAAATGAGAAAAATACCAATGTTTCTAAATTTTGACCCGAGTGTCAAATTGGAACAACGGAACATCTGGGTTGTGGGAGTTGATTTTCCTCAGAGGTCATCTCCACTCCATTTGACCCCCTGATAAGGTAATATATATTTCCATTTTTTTGTCTAGCTTTCAGATTACATTTACGTGCAAGATTTCTAGTAAATTTCATGACTTAGCAACTAAAACGCACTGAGAAGGTTAAGATGCCTTGGGTTCCGCTTCTAGTCCAGTGGCATTGCTCAATACCCCCATTAAAATCGTCTGTTTCAAATACCCTATCGCCTTTCCTGTGATTTGTAGGTTATTTTGGCCCCCAAAAGAAGCAATTAACATGTTTAAAGTCAATTAAAATGATGCCTTAGAGGAACCGTTTTGAAGGGACAAATAAATAAAAACGGGTAAGCAATAAAATGAGGCAGTGTACATTTATGGGGTAGCAGGTAATGATCCCGCTTTTAACCCCCACTGTTGGGCAATCTGGGACATTGTGAACCGATTCCAACCCAATTTGCCAGAAGGTCAGATACAATCTATAAATGAATAATCTTGAGATTTTAGAAGGCTAGTTTGTCTCGTCTTTGTTCACCGTGTGTACCAATAGGCCAGTTTGACCACCAAATACAGTCAGTTGAGAGGCGGTCTTGTCATTACAACATTGCCCACATCAAATTCTTTTTTAATGACGACGTAAGCCCTTTTTAAGTCAGCTGCAACTTGGCCTCTGCCAAGGTGGTGGTAGACGGGACACTCCTCCAGCCTCCCTCTGCAGATCCTGGTGCATCAAATTGAACCGCAAATTAGCGTTAGAGTTAACTCAGAGCTAAAAAGAGATGAAGAATTATGTAATTAAGAATAAAGTATTCTAAGGGGTGAGTAATTGTACAAAGGCATACCTGCTACACTTTACTCGTTGGGGGAATGGAATCGCTACCATGCTTCCCTTCCTGAGCCAATCAGACAGGAGCTGGCCACATGTTCTACCTTTAATTCAAAAAAGCTTTGTCGCTAGAAGCCAAACAAAAAATAATGTGGTCCTAGTGACTTTTATTCTTCCCACCTTTTATTTTCCAAATGTCTACATTGCACTGAATCTTATGATTATCTGACGCCAAGAAATGGAGCTAATCAGTTGAAGAAGGGTGTTGAATGGGGTGGATAGATCTTAGGGACAATTACTTGGACATAATCACGAAGTTTGTGGTAAACATTTGCAGAAGCCAATGATAAGTTTGTTTGCTTACCCAACGACGCAACCCAAAAGTTACGCCCCATCATAAGTCAGTCAGACAGAAAAAAACCCAACTTGCAACTCCACGAATTCCTCTTCATCGCCAACCAATTGCCTCATCACCCATATGAGTCATGGCTGGGAGGCACCCTAGACCCACCAATGATAATGCCATAAAACTACTTGACTCAGGAGGCATATGCAATTAACTATTTCCGCGAAAGAGAATAAAGGTCTTATTTTGCTTATCCAATGCCTCTTCACCTTAAGAAAGTGGTTTAGCTCCTTTCTGGACGGTGGAGGTTCTGAGATGACGCACACCCTACTTAATAAAATGCTGCGAAACCAATTTGAGGAGAAGGTCTGACAGATTTCGGCTTATAAGGCAGACGGTAGAGCAGGTGGCCGGCAGGTTGGAATCAAACATATTCATTCTATCAGTCAGTCACATTCAATGCAAAGGTGATGCCATGTGGTAAGTGTATATGTGTGGGCGTGGAGGTGGGTTCACAATAAGTCGGAAATTGTTGATAAACTGCGGCATCTTCATCAACGCGTTACAGGACATGAACATAAACAACTGAATCGGTTTGACAGATACCTACATGTAAATACAGTGAACTCTGTTGAGAACCACAGAAACATGCCAATTTAAAGTATACAAACTTTGCGGCAGATTTGTTTCAAGCGTCTGACTTCATTGGTAATCCTGGAGAATTGATGACATTAACACGAATGCGGAAAAAAATTCACTTAGTTCAGCAGTATAAATGGGCCGGACGTCGTGATGCAATGGCGTAGCCCCTCTCTAAAACACGAACCGATTTCGCATTTTTTGAGGACATTGCTGCATCATTCTATCTTGTAAATTTTTACTCTTCGAAATGAACCGCAGGCACGATAGATCTGAACTGAGGTAATGAGCCGCTGAAACCAGTAGTAAATGAAGTGAATACACCCTAAGCACATACTACTTATGTCCGACTTTATAAGTAGCATTCAAAACAAGCAACTGTTCACGCTCGGAAACAAACAATGACACAAAGGTCTATTTCACAAAGCAAAAAAATTGTTTTTAATGAAAATTTGGACTTGATATTCACTGTCTCCTTGTCATCAAAACTAAGAAAATACCAAAGTCGCTGTTATACAGCCAAGAGAATGCTTTTCTTTTCAACCGACGTGACCAACCGCTCCACGAACTTAGGCTCGGTTATCGATAAAAGCAAATGCCACCTCCTATCAAACTTGAGAACAAAA